GATGTCCAGCATGTCTATAGGGACTTCACCTTGCATGCGTACAACAAGGTCCAGTTTCTTCTGCCAATCAAACTTCAATGTCGACATCTGTAACTGCATCGACTTGAGCTGCCTGTTTAGCAACTGATTTTTGGACTGGAGATCGACTATTTGTTCGCTGAAATGTTTTCTCAATTCATCATCAACCTGCAACACATTAATAACTATAATCAGGTCACTGATGATGGTGAAAAGTGGAATAAAACAGTGTCGTGATAGATAAAACTTTAGCAACTTACATTATTTAACGATTGACCCTTTGAAGAGGGTGTATGCGGATCAGATGTGTCAACTGACTTACCCTCCCCACCCTGCGTATCTTCGTCGAATGATGGCCCTTGCCATCTGGGTGGGGGGTCAACAAAATCGCCATCATCGATGTGCACATCGAAATGCCCAATGCTTCCATTAGTTATCATAAACATAGGAGTAGAAGGTTTCACACCCGAGGAACTCGGCTTTGTACTGGTCCCAGCACCTTGAACTGAATAGTCTGTACTACCACCATTTCTCTTTCCCTTACGTAAATGATAGGGTTGGACAGGTTTGTCATACCGTGCTTCAGTCATGTACGGCATTCCCAACTCAATTTTTGGGGTCCCAAGTCACATACCTTCATCTGCCATTTGGAACACAAAGAAAATTTAATGTGAACAAAACAACAATCTATGAATATAAACAGTTATGTTAACATATTGAATGATATAACAACATGCAACATGTCGTAAAGATGCTTGTGACCTATTTTGAATTTCTGTTACCTATAGCAGCTGCTATATAACACACTCTATATGACCTGTGACTTAATGAATGTGATTCGTGACCTACTCTATACGAATTGTGACATATAAACACGTGAAAGTCCTGATTCACATTTTATAATGCTGCAAGAGCCGGATTGGATAAGCATTCAGGCCCATTGAGTTTAGCAGCAGATGGGTGATCATCAGCTGCCCAATTCTTTATACGGGGGGTATACTTTCGATATCCTTCTAGTTATGTATCCATCGAGACTAGGAATTGTCTCGTAGATCCACACTTGAAATGCTACCAGCAAGCCTTTGAGTCTATAATGGGTTGTTCGCTTACTCTACCCCTTCTTTAGTGAACTAACTAGCATGTCAAACATAGGCTTACCCCATGGAAAAAAAATTCATCAGATTGAAATCTTCAACCAATACGAACAAGAAGTGACCCACAGCCTTCTTCTAATCTCTTGAAAACAGATATGATGTTAAGAAATATAATGGACCTAGCTTAGAAACATCCCCATCGGGAATGCCACCCGCACCAAGAAATGCTTCCTTCACATCTGCATGAGTCAAAATTTTCAACGTACTGAAATACACATTTTTCAGACGTAGGAGTCTTCTCCAACGTACTTGTATCAACGTTGCCAACATATCTCAACCCAATTACTAAACAAAACTCTGAAATTGAGAATCTTATAAATCTTCCAGTTATGTGAAACCACAGTTCACTCTCATTATTTTGTCGCACCTGCCTCAAGAGAAAGTAATGTATCAGTTGGGATTGGACAATGATTTCCTCACATTCCAAGAAGTGGGAAAAACAAGTATTCTGCAACATTCGACGTTGGAATTCATTTAGGTTTGTTTTAAAAATTGTCAAGTTGTAGGCCTGGAGATTTACTATATCAAGAGTTGGTTTCCGGGGAAAATTACAATTACCCCCATGATAAACGCAATAGTTAGTCACAGATGGGACTCCAGGTAATAACAACAGCAACAGTTAGGTCACAAGTCCCCTCCCTCAGATAAAAAATGAACAACACACTTATAAAACGACACAATCACCTTAGACAACTCACAGTTGAACAACCAAATTACAAAACAACAATAAAAACCCTTTCTAGATTCTAGCATTACGATTACAATGACACAGTATAAATTGAATGCAATATAACTTACAAACTAAAAATACTTCACCCATACATGTTACCCATCGATTAAAATGTTCAGAGGTATGCTCAAAATGAATGAAATATTGAAATATTAAAAACAAACCTTCTTCGTAGACGGAGTTAAGACTGACCATGTCGATTTGTGTCTTTTAGAGGGGGAATCTTTTTGCATTTCATGAACTTTCCGTTTACGTCTTGTATCTGAATCATGGTTTCCAAGTTCTCCCCTCACGTTCCACTCCTTGAACGGGTCATTCCTTGAAAGTTTTACCGTGTGCAGTTTGACAGGGACGATGAGAAGTTGCACGAACTCGATTTAACGGAAGTAAATTCGATGGTAGGCGACCACTGTCGCGATTTCGCTGAGGAATGGACGACGGTGAATGGCAAATTAGGGCTTGATTGAACGGCGGAGAAAATCGAGATATATGAATACGTGAATGAATGTGGGGAGAGTTTATCGAATGAACGTGTATGGAGGTTTAGCAAAATATACAGTTTCCATATTTTAAAACACGTGAAATATGGAAACAGTTATTAGATTTTTTTAAATAATCAATATAAAAAAAACTTCTGATTTTTAAAATATCAAACTTCCAATCTGATTTCAGAAAGTTGAATATTTAAAGTATGATTTGGTGTAATTACCGCAAGTATAACCTACAAAAGCCTACTCCATTTTCTAGCATTAGGTCCACAAAAGGTTGGAAAGACTTGCTTATTTTGGAGTAAAAGGCACGCCACAGCCAAGGTGTCATCTCTATCAACATTAATGTTGACACAATAGAACAAAGCGAGAGTGAAGACCATGTACTGCCGGCTTCCTTAACTGCAAGGTCGGAGGTTGGGACGTTCCATCAGACAAACTGCTTAAATATCCATGGCTCAAATCATTTTGCACAGCAACACCAACTGAAGACTTGTCAAGATTCAAGAAAGTCCACCAAAGAAATCCCACTTGTTGAGTGTGAAGTTGTCGCCGATGCTATGGTGGGCTGCAAGCTCTTCATAGTTTTTGCCAAGATTGGAGCCGACCTCGATGGGACTACTTAGATGCCAAAAAACCCAATATGTTTATCCTTCTGCACAAAGGCCTTGTAGTAGAGATTCCATCTCTCTTTTTTATTTTTATTTTTTATTTTTTGGTAGGCAAAATAGTTACAAAATGTAATGGCCGGTAGAAGTGGAATAAGGTGGAAGGCATTTTCTTGAAACTCAATACTTGGCAAAATTTAGAGAGAAATAATGGATGTCCCTTTCCTTGAATTTATGCATTCAAGCATTCAAATGTTTACGGTTTTGATAAACTTACTTGCCTGTCGTCTTCATCCGTGATCTCATGGCTGGATTTCTCAACTAGATGTAGCAAAATTTCTTTTGAGATCCATTTGCAGTAGCCACTTTCTTAGTAGATTTATTTAACCCTTCGCGAAAATTCCTTTTTTTTTTCAAGGAAACTTTCACCAACCATTTTTCCTCTTCTTAGTGTGGTTTTGTTTTATTTTTGTTGGCTGGGAAATTCCCATTTCAAGAAAATTTTTAGTATTTTGGCCAGTGACCACCTCTCCTTCATATTTGGTTGCTATCTTTGCTTTCTTTTCCTGTCAGTTTTTTTAGTATTTTGGCCAGTGACCACCTCTCCTTCATATTTGGTTGCTATCTTTGCTTTCTTTTCCTGTAGAACCTGACCAAAAAATTCTTCATTTTCCGGTGACCTTTTGTGTGTGATAGAACATGGTTAAAGTGCCGTTTCCCACAGACAGCTCCAATCCGTTGACCCAAAAAAATGAGCCAACAGAATTCTGACCTCGTCCCCTCCACATAGAATTTGCCTGCACACTGAGCACCCCATTAGAAGGCAAAGGCAGCCATTCGAGAAAAAGGTCAGACGATCGTTTGCACTTCGACAGTCAAGTCAACGGTCGGATAAGAGAAATATGAGTGCAAGAGAGGAGATGGGATTTGGTTAGGATTAGAAAATGTAAATGGACATGTGGGCCTAATGGCCGAACCCAAACTTAGGCCCAAAAATATCCGACTTGATTAAATAGGTCCATTGTAATTAATAGTCGATGCCACGTAATATATGTGTGTAACAATTAGCATTATGACTTTTTAAGTTGATAGTCTTCAGCTTTGAGGAAGCTATAGATGATCTTGTGTGGCCTGGGTCAAGCATTCAAATAATCTTACAGCATTAGACTTGGCGCTTGCATTTTTTTGGTGTCATATAGCTTCCTCAGAGCTGGTGTCATACAGTATACTGGTGTCATATTGAAGGGATTTGTGGCAAACTATTTTGGGTAACACTTGCATTTTTTCTCTTATCCAACTGCTCGCATAGCGTAAATTGCTATTTCTCTCTGCAATGGAGGCACCCGATTACTTGAGTCTAAGAGAGAGGTTTGAGCATTAGACTTGGCGCTTGCATAATTCTCTGATTCCAAGTTGGATTTTGAAGAGAATTACTTAGTTTATAAGTAATTTTATTTCGTTAGGAGCTTTATTTATTTATATTAGTTTGCTTGAGTTTGCGTTTGTCTACGAAACTAAAAGCATGTTTGGGTAGTGTTTATAAAATGTTTTTTTTAAAAATAAATAAATAGAAATGAATGGTGGGTAAGTGGATATTCCTTTTTGATCTCACGAAATGTGTGGATAAAAAATAATTTGGATTCATAAACGTGAACCAAACATACTCTAAATCATGATTTCTTTGTTTTCATCGTATCGATCCAGAACCTTATATCGTAATTCCCAAGAGCTTACTCCTTAAACTTCAACTAACAAAGTTCTTCTATTGTATACATTTTTTTGAACTTAACATTGGAGCCTATGAGGAACTTCAAAATATCAATGGATGACTGCATATTCGAGATGGTATTTCGTTACACACAGTAAATAAATTTCACGACGTGAGCTAAGAAAAATTTCCCACCACACATTTAGTTTGTAGGGCATTCTGTGTGCCACGTGTCACCATATGAACGTTCTGAGAAGAGTAACTAGTGCACGGGAAGGGAAAAAAAAATTAAAGATGACCAGAAGAGTTAGAAAGGGCAGCTGTATATCTATTGCAAATGGTCTTTGGTACAGTGTTGAGATTTTGGCCTTTACAACCATAACCCGTGACTTTATGCAATTAGCTGGACTACTAACCTGTAATTCACCCAACTGCTGTCATATTAATGTACATGTAATTACTTGATAAATTTAAAGACTCATTGATTCTAATATTCTAGAAATGGCCGAGTTTTCTCTCACATCTTGCTTCATCTTTAGTGCTACGTGCTCGAATTGCTATATTTAGGGCTTGTTTGACATGAATTTTGCTTTTGCTTTTGTTTCTTGTAGAAGAGCTTTATCAGAGAACTACATTATCAGTTTCTTCTAAAATGCTCTTCTAATCTGACAAAATATTTTCAGAAAATTATTCAAACATATTTAAAAACAACTTCTTAGACTCGAGAGCAACTTCGCAAACTTTTTTTTTAGTTGCTTGAATAACATGCTTCTTCATCATGTTGTAATCAAGAGTACTAATCTTTTTATTAATTCGACATAATTACAAAATGCATTGAGAATTTGGTTTTGTACATAGCAATCTTCGTCATATTATTACGTTAGAAACTAAAATATCGAATATAGTTAAAAATGAATTTGACTCTGTCACTTTGTTCGACCAACTTTTTAATTGGTCAAACTTCAAGTTTAAATACATATTTAGTGGGATCTACAATTTTTATAAATTTTTTAACTATACATGTTCATCAATTTTTATCAAAATCCGTTAAAAATTTTATGACAAACTTCGTCAAACAGGCCTCTTTGTAAGCTATTGGATATTTGAAATTGTAGAGCTCTCTAGGTTTTCCATAAATGAAAATCATATTGATGATAATGATATGATTGAATTTGAAAGTAAATTAATGACAACCTTGAATGACTTAATCTTTTGTCTAAGTTGCATAATAAAACTCCATTTCGAGTCCAATTTATTTCTTATTTAACTTAAGTGTAGTATTCTTTTAGTATTATAAATGAATAATGCTATCTAGCAACATTGGTTTTAGAAAATCAATTTATGTGACATTATGCGATAAGTTCAGTTAAAAGTGAAATTCTGTGATTCATTTAATTGTATATTTCATTTAATGACACTTAGCGTCATCTGAATTAGTGTTGCAGCATCATTGGTGCTAAATAATATTTCTCATTATAAATATACTAGACGTCGCTGTTCTAGCTTCCATTTCCGTGCAACCTAGCCCTTATCATTGACCCCAATAAATTACACCTAATGTAATTAATTTTCTTGTAGTGATTTCTTTTTGTAGTTGACTTTAGGTTCCTCCAAGAGTCATGGGACTTAAATATCAGCATTACTTTATGTAGGAAAGCATGTGAATTTAGAAACATTTCAAATCTACGTATGAAGTATATAAAGAAACAATTGCCCTTCTGGTTGAGAGTTGGAGTGGCACAGGATTTTCTGAACATCAACCATCCTAAAACAGCGCCAATTCTCAAAGCTTCATAGCCTCGTCTGCACGTTTGCTGAACCACGTAAAATTCGTATTTTATTTTTCGCTGCGTTGGTTGGCTTCTTGTTGCGATTTTTTCCCCAACGCTGTCCCAAAAGCCTTTCATTTCTAGTTTTTTCTTTTCTGTTAGCCCTCAAAATTATTGATTTTTACTCTTTAAATTGTTTCCAGCCTAGGATTATGTTCACAGGAATCACTATGGGGGTGGCTAATGAAAATCATGTCCCGAGTGCTAAAATTGAGACTGAGAGCAAGCATATTGATGTTTTTGTCGAAAAGATGAAAAGATTGCCAGGTTTGACATGGGCAAATATATGCGAAGTGGGGAAAGAAGATCCTCGTAGGGTTATTCATTCACTCAAAGTTGGTCTGTCCTTAACATTGGTTTCACTGTTGTACTTAATAGAGCCATTGTTCAAAGGTATTGGACAGAATGCCATATGGGCTGTCATGACTGTGGTAGTTGTGCTTGAGTTTACTGCAGGTGTGTAACGAAAAAACGCGCTTCATTTTTATCTGATCCCGACTTTACAATACAATTTTGTGACATGATGTTGAAATACTAGGTGCAACATTATGCAAAGGACTAAATAGAGGTTTTGGCACGCTGTTAGCGGGATCACTGGCCTTTTTGATCGAGTATATTGCTCAAGAATCTGGTCGAATTTTTCGCGCTGTTTTCATTGGTGCTGCAGTATTCGCTATTGGTAAGTTTCAAGCACAGCTGACTCACATGATAGGGAGAAAATTAAGAACTGAAACTAATGCAAGAATTTGTTTGTGAATTTGACAGGAACAGCAGCCACATACATTCGATTTTTTCCTTACGTAAAGAAAAATTACGACTATGGAATTGTGATATTCCTCTTGACCTTCAATTTGATTACTGTATCAAGCTATCGTGTTCATAACGTGTTGAAGATAGCTGAGGATCGATTTTATACAATTGCCATAGGTTGTGGAGTCTGTCTCCTGATGAGCCTCGTCATATTCCCAAACTGGTCGGGCGAAGATCTTCATAATTCCTCTGCGTCTAAGCTCGAGGGCTTAGCAAAATCAATCGAAGGTTACATAATTCTGTTTAGCCAAATTGACAGTTTCCAATGTTACGATTGAGGCAACTAATTAACCATTTCTCTATATTGCAGCTTGTGTCAATGACTACTTCAGCAATGAAGAGACAAGTGATACCACCAATAAATCATCTGAAGATCCCATCTACAAAGGTTATAAGGCTGTTCTGGACTCAAAATCCACAGATGAGACTTTGGTAAATTTTCTTTCTGAGAAGTCGGTCCACAGGAGATAAAATTAGCAACTTCATGTACCTAACCGGCTGAGACGAGCTGGTTTCTTAACATTTGATTGATATTCGCAGGCATTACACGCGAGTTGGGAACCAAGGCATTCAATACATTGTTACAGGTTCCCATGGCAGCAATATGTCAAGTTGGGAGGCGTTCTTCGACATTTTGGTTATACAGTTGTAGCACTCCATGGATGCCTGCAAACTGAAATTCAAGTAAGTTTTTATTGTTGGCATAATTTTGGGTGGGACCCACTCATTTGTTTGGAAGATCAAAGTAAATTCGTGTTCTCTTTCATGATAACATCGAAATCGTATATTTACTTGTTATTTTCTTTTGATATTAATAAAATATATCATTTTGCAATTTGTGACATATATATCGATGCTGGACGTGTTTGGACAATACTATATCAGCCTTTATCGGATAGTTTATTCAGAGGCATGGTACTTGGCACTTTGGACCGTTACTATCTTTATCTAGAAAAACACAAGAAACAAATTAATACAGTCCTGAGAGATAATCTTTGGTTATTCAGATGTGGTGTGGATCCGGCAACTTAAGCCCCTGTTTGGTATCAATTAAAATTTAGATTTTAATCTAAGTCAAAAGTCAACAATTTATTTTAACCATATATTTTATGGGTTCCACAATTTTTCAACCACACATTTCATCAACTTCTATCAAAATCTACTAAAAAATCTGATTTTAATCTCCACTAAACACGTGTTAAGTATTGTAGAATGTATGTTAACAATATTTGTTCATACTTGAAAATTAAATCTATACTCGATTAAATTCACGAAAAGATTCGTCAATTAAGATCGAGAAGTCATTGGTTGGCTATTTGCCCAAGTCTTATAGAAAGAGGACACATTTATTTATTTATTTAAATTTAGTTTTCAAAACATGACTTCTCTGCTCATGTCCTTGTAGGGATACTCGATTCTTAAATATGTTGTTTCGTGTTTCACTAAACTCGTTTTGTTTTGTCCCTTACGATGTAGACTCCACGATTAGTTCGATCTCTTTTCAAAAATCCATGTGTTCGAGTGGCTGGAGAAGTATCAAAAGCTTTAATGGAACTGGCTGACAGCATAAGAAATCGTCGTCAATTCTCTCCTCAGATTTTGTCCGACCATCTACACGAAGCCTTACACGACCTGGATGCTGCGCTAAAATCCCAGCCGAGGCTCTTTCTCGGTCCCAATAACAACGACAACAACAGAAACATGTTAGCCTTCGCAGCTGCTGCAACAGCTAGGCAAAAGCCGAATACAAAAGACTGCGGAATTTCTCTTTCAAGTGTTAGAACAGACCCATCCGCATTGCTTGAATGGAAATCCAAAAGGAATAATACGAATTCTGAACTGGCAAATGAGTCCGAAAGAAAGGTGTTAAGGCCAACATTAAGCAAGATTGCTTTAACTAGTCTTGAGTTCTCTGAAGCACTGCCATTCGCCGCCTTTGCCTCGCTACTACTCGAGACGGTTGCAAGGCTCGATCTTGTCATTGAGGAAGTCGAAGAATTGGGAAGGATAGCTAATTTCAGGGAGTTCAATGCAGGAGATGATCAAATCATTTTGACAAAAACTGAAATAAAGATTGCAGAACCTCTACAAAACCATTTGCCTTCTCATGGAACAGATTGATGATTAAGGGAATTCAATTATACATTTGTGTTTTCATTATACTATTTCTTCACAAAGAACTGTACACCTTGGGACATATACGTTGGATAATGTTAAGTGTAACTTTATGATATGCTTGAAACGACATAAAATGGAGGTTGAATACATTGTGTGTTCGAGTTTTTCATTAATTTCAAGATTCTGTCAACTTTTCTGGCTCACGGCCCGACTTCATGGGTTTCGGCCAACAGTACAACTCATGTTGAGGCCGGGCTTAATCTTGCTCGACCACATGATATCTTATCTTCCCCTCCGTGGGTAGGAAAATCATGATCGAGATAACAAATCAAAAGCTATGGAACTTGGGTTGGAACTTGACTACAAGACCCACCTGTCGAGCATGACAAAAGTTGGCCTTAGCGATCCGACGGTCGTGTAAGGGCAGCAGCTTGGGTGGAAGGTGGAGAAGGCCTCCTTCCAAGGGGCTCGAGCCATCACTCTGAAAGAGTTAGAATTTTAATATTATGTCAGGATCTACGACACGGCAAATTTTTACACCTATAACAACGACATTTCAATAATGCATGGAATTTAATGGCATGATGCAGTATTCTGATCGCGTACTCTTAAAACGATGTGGGGGCTATAACTTTAGAAAGCAGCTTAAATATAGCCAGTTCATTGAAGGAATCTAGTTTAGGAAGCAGCCTAGAGTAAGGGGCCACATAATAGTAAAGTAATTCCATTCATATACCCCAATTTGATTAAAGAAAATACATATGTTAAATCAACTTTGTTCCACTTGTAATCATACTAGTTTTATACAAGACCAATTCCTAGTGAATCAATAAAAGTGATCACTAAGAGAGGTCTTTTCTTGACTCGCAGTAGTACAAAAGCATGGTCTTGATACAACTTGACCATAAAGGACGGGCTAGATGCTGGAGAGCAACGAACTCCCATGACAGCTAGGCTAAGGCCGGTTAAAAGCTTCTTTAAAATCCGTGGAAACACTGAATATGATGACAACAGCCAGTTCAGATTGTTTCTGTATTCCAATCCAAGACAAAAATTAAAAGACACCATCTCAAGGTCGTAGGATACTCTTAAAATTGATCTAGATGATTTAGCGTGCTTAAATTTGAATCCTCATTTGCTTGCATATCCATCATAGCTTTCTTGAAATGTGTAAGGTGAGATGCATCCATACTGAGTTAGATTGTCCGGAAGTCCAACCTCCTCTGTAAAATTTGAGTAAGATGAACTTTGTGAGATATTATGTTGCTCGAGTGGAGGAAATGAACCCAGGTACGGAAACTGATCATACTGCGGATAGCATTCCTGTACAAATTACATGTTCAGTTATAAACACAAACAAGAACCTGATAAAATAAATTTTAATCGAGAGCAATTATAATCTTACTACCTTATAAGAATCAAGAATCATATTAGGCGAGCCCCAGAGGCTCGTAGAGAGATCATATCCCTCTATAGGTTCTACGGAATATTGAGAAGTAACTGGAATTGTACGATTACTCTCGTTATACATGTTACTGGTTTGAAAAGGAATGCTGTCAGAAGTGACCAGCAGTTCATTTGAGACAGCACTAGAGGTGAAATGATCACTGCTGCTAGAACTATTTCCAGCAGGCTTAAATGCAGAATCTCCATGAGCACAAGTTTTCTCAGAGTTTCCATTCTTCTTGACAACACGGCACAAGGCGAAAGTTCCCTGCAGATATTTAAATTGCCATTATCAATATTTCAGTTTGTACAAAGAGTCCAAAACTGTCACTGCAAATGTTATCAATGTTACCTGAAAACTTGGGGTGTCGTTGGTAACATCATCACAGAGACGATATTCGTGCATAATCCAATCTGTTCTATCCCCAAGTGGTGCTCTTCCACGATAGAAAACCAAGGTCTTGCGGTACCCTTTAGCCTCACAGACGACTTTACGGTCTTTTCCTGTAGCTTTCCAGTATCCTGATTTGGTGGCTCGGTTAGTTCGAGATCCATTTGGATACTTCTTGTCTCGATTACAGAAAAAGAACCACTCCATGTCGCGCTTCGGCAGGAATGATTTTTCTGCATTTCACGGCAATCACATTACAATTCTTCGTCCTCACGAACCAAAATTTAACATTTTTAGTATGTTTTAGTTAAGCATCTTTCATAATCAATCCCAATTGTCAATAATAATATGTGCTTCACATGAATCCAACATAAAGTCATAAATGGATAAAACTGTACACTTAGGCATCGAACAATCAAATTTATGAAATAACAGAGCATGTCTTATAAGCAATTCATCGAATACATTAGTAGCAATTCATTGGAAGAGTACCTGGCAGGTCCCATGGATCAAATTTGTACAGATCAATTACTGGAATGACTTCCAGCTCAATTTCAAGTCCCTCATTTTTCCTTTTAAGATAATAGCCAATCAGTTCCTCATCAGTGGGATGAAATCGAAATCCCGGTGGCAGAGATCCACTACACATTACGAAGAGTAACACGAACCAAGAACAAGCCTAAAAACACGCTTAGTTTGAGAAATTCGCGAATTTAGGTAGTCAAGAATTTGGCTAAGTGCCCAAGCTATACCTATTAAAAATTTGAAAAATCCAAAAATAAAAGCTTTTGGAAACACAAAATTTGTTTTCAATAACTGCAAAGAACTTCCATATCCCCTTTAAAAACCGTATCATTTTCCTCTAGAAATTCAAAATTTTCTTTTAGCTAAAATCCTCCCCCTCCCCCAACCTAAACTGCATAAAGTCAAACAAAACCCAGAATTCAAATTCCTGTAAATTTGAGAAAGGAATCGGAAAATCTAATGTTAATGGAATCTGTAGAGGGAAATCAGAGTAGTGTAGGGTGGTTTTTATAGGTAGTCCAAAGAATATTGAACGCCGAAAGGTTCCTCCCTTGTCCGAAGCTACATAAAATTCCACTCAGCCCGACAAAATCCAGTTTTCAGTTCACACTTACAAAGACGGTTAAAATGAAAAAAGGGCCTGAATCTTACCACATCAGCATGAGTCGGACTCCAACTTTTTTTCCCACATGTGCAAAGGAATTAATTTACTTTTCCAACTATGGTGGATAAGGTTTGTTGACAATGTTTGATGTAGCAAAATTTATAACATGATTGATGTTCAAAGTGGGCAATTGCATTGATATTGTTCAATTTGGTTATGGTTCGTAGAAAATCGAACATAACCATAAATTAATTAATTTTTTTTAATGGAATCAAATGATTTTTTCCAAGATATAGAACCTAATCGAAACTGACATGAAACCAAATTGGAACTGAACCATTCGATTTTGGCTTGGTTCGATTTTATTTTCATTTCTTAAATTTTTAAACTTGCTCCATATCCGTAAGTTAATAATATATGCCTAAATAAAAAAATAATAAATATAAAAAATTCAACAAATTCAATTATCAATCATCACGATCACAATAGTCCAAACTAATAAACAAAATATAGTTATAATTTGAATACACAAATCAATTTCCATTTCTATACAAAAGACTGTCTAATAAGTAATAACAATATCTCATTAAATTAATTGCAGGATTTCTTGACGGCACACCCCCACAATAAATGATGATTTTTGCAAAACTTTTATAGTTCACTTTTACAGACAACCATTAACCGTTTAATACTCCATTAGTATTTATTGGATTTTTCTTCATTTGTGAAGCCTCCAGTGGCGTGATGAAATACGTTACCAGCGTCCTATGATGTTGTGTAAAATGAAAATGAGCGAAAAAGAAATTATTCAAATGAATACAAAATTAGGGTGTACACAATTAATGGACTGTCTCCAATTATTACAAAATTAGGATCTCCACTAATTAATATATATAAAAATTTAAATTTAAATTTAAATTTAAGTTTGGTTTTGGTTCTCGATTTTAGAACTAGAATTGAATCAAAACCAAATGGTTCTCGATTTGAAGAACCAAAAGCATTTTTTTTGTAGAACCGAATCGAGCAACTAGATTTGGTTCAATTGTGGTTTGGTTAGATTTTATTTGGTCTGGACATTTTGTCCATCCCTATTGACACTTGGGTAGTTTCTGCTTTGTAAAAAAATTTGATGAGGAAGCTATTAATGCCCATTTGTCATTGATTTCAAGAGACAAAAGGAGCTTTTGAATCCAAAAGTTGTAAAGCTCTTTTAAAAGTTTTCCCAGCTATGAAAGAGACGAAAAGCTATGTGAAGTAAAAGAAGAAAGATCACCACTCAATCCGTTACCATGACTGATAGGGTGATCAAACAATGATGAAAAGCTACATGTTCCGCTTCTCCTGTTAGTTAGAGAGGAGCAAGGGAAAGGAGTCTATCTATCTACTTATTTTTGGTAGATTTCCCCCAATGCAATCTTAATTTTCTCGTGAATATACTTTATGAGAAGCAGGAGCAAAAGTCCATTGAAAAGGGCTCTTACTCTAAAAACTCTTCTATCTAAGCAAAGCACTTCCACAAATTTCCCAAATTGTTCAAAAAATGTTCATACGGCCCATTTGACATGGTTTTTAGAAGTTAAAAGAAACTTTTGAAACTAAAAATTACTTTTGGACCTGTATGACTAATTTTATTTATAAGAGTTTTTAGAGAAAACTATTTTAGAAATTAGTTTCAAACAAAAATTAAGTAGTTTCCTCAAGAAACTCTTCTACATGAAGTAAAAGTCATGCCAATGGACCATTAGTCTCAAAACAACTTTTTGACTTTTCAAAACCTCTACCAAATGGGGTCTTAAAATTGTATAGCTTCTTTAGAATAATGCTGCGTAGCACTCGTTTTGTTCAATACTTGTTTTGTGACAGTAAAGTTTGTCACATTATGTCATAGTGGTCATACAATAATCTAGACAAGTACCAAATATCACGAGAGTATTAGATAACATTATTCATTATTTTATTATTAGCACAATAACCTATAAAGGTTTAGTGGTCGGAAGAGGATTATGATATAGACTAATAGATGAATTGATGGAACTGAATGGTTTCACACGCTTTTTAAAAAGAGGGAAAAGGTAGTAGAGTTGATATCATGCTCACTACTTTGTGAAGGTGAAGTATTTTGATTACAGTTGCAAAACAATTAAAGCAGCTTTATTATGTATACATTATGCAAAAAATTAATGAAATTTTGATTGAGCTGTTTTCTCTGCGCTTGAGATGAAACACAAAAAGACAAGATTGCTATGCAAATCTTAATGACTGTGCTCAATGAGTCGTCCTTCTTTAATAGTTTAAACTTCTAAATAATGCAATTAAAATATAATGGAAAAGTATGAAAAAATTGTTGGTTCAGATTTTGTTACTATCTACTATTAGAAATTATGCTTGTCATGCAACTGATATAAAGTATTTGATCTGCAAGTCAATTACATCACACCTCCAACAACTTTAAACGTTCAAATTACTTTAGACTTTTCTAAAGGTTGAACCCCGCCCCGCCCCGCCCCGCCCCGCCCCGCATTGTGGAGAAGGTAAATTGCGGGATGTGTCTCAACAGGTCAGGGTACATAAGCTGACATAGTAGTGTCCACAAATAGTCTAATTTCATACATTGTAAGAGGCAGAAATCAAATCCTCATACTGCGGCTGTCAGCTCAATTGAAACTATCTCACTCTTATCCTTTTGACTTTTCCGATAGCATGAAGAGTCGTATCGTCGAAAAAATACAAAAAGTTTACCTCTCATATTATACGACTATGGCAAGTTCGTGATAATAACTTTACAAGAAAGAAGCCATATTGCTTTGGAAACTTCTCCCCCATTAAACGTATTGTCATCGAAAGGTCTAAAAAAATTACCTAAAATTATGAGTCGAGATACGTTGTCCTCCAATAAAATCTTGATACTTCACTACATTTCTGACTTAACAAGTTTTGAGGTGATGTTTATCTGGCCCCTCTCAAATTTTGACACCTCAAATTATAATAAAACAGCAAGATTTCATTTGGGATAACAGACCACTTAAAATTATCAAGGATCAAGAAATTAATAAAATAACTGAAATTTGACCTAATGAAATAACTAAATTAGGATCCAGGGTCTGAATTTTTCAAAGTGCAAATGGGGTCCTAAACTTTCTGATTTTGGCAGTGTAGGACCTTACCTTTGGTTAAATTAGCACTCCAAGGACCTTTGAATGATTTTCATCAAGATTTCCGTTAGCTCGTCCACTGACTCAATTTTGACATGAAATCGGTGTCTTGGGTTTAACCAAACTTAATTTAAAAGATGTTTGATTCTCATTTTTCCCAAAATACATTTTTCTCTCTATTCTTTTTAACTACACATTCTTCATTAAAATAATATTAAATGTAAATAAAAAAAATTCTTCTTTTTTAACCACAATTTCTTTATGAATCTACTATTTCACAATACATTCTACAAAAATAATGGGACTCAAACACCCCCTTAACAAATAGAACTTTGTCGTGTGTACAGAACCAGTGTTCTAAAATGCGTAATGCGTTGCGATGCGTCGAGACCGAGAATCAAGAATTATAAGTTTAAGCGTGTCAATGCGAAAAATAAGCGTCATAATGCGTTTCGTATTTTTAATATTATTTTAATTATTTTTAATCAATCAAAAATTTTTAATCAATAAAAAAAAATTTCAAAATGGATAAATCCACAACCCATCCCCAAACACACAGACCCAACCCAACAATTCTCTTGAAGCCCATTTATATCAACCTACTTATTATATACATTCTATTCTCCTAGCCCATATAAGAAAATCAAAGCCCATTTATCCACAACTCATGCCCAAACACACGACCCAACCCAACTGAACAAGCTTTCTTCCCCCAACTGGACAAGCCGTCTTCCCCAATTGGAGCCTAGATAGTAAGCCAAGAACTCCAATTGCAAATCTCGATTCTGTAGATGGAAACTAGGATTCTAGAACTCGAGGGAGGCATCACAAAGAAAGTTCTCTTGCTCGGCTACGGTTATGGCTTCCAGGTTTGGGATGTTGAAGAAGCAGACGATGTTTGCAAACTGGTTTCCAGCATGATATCCTGTTTCATTTATGCAAGCATTACCCAACCCAACAACATCGAAGGAATCTGGAGACAAGTTTGCTGATAGTCGCCCATTGCTGATAATTTGTAGTGCACTGATGATGGATCGTTTTCTGAAGGCAAGAACATTCAGGAGGGGTATGGTGGTGCTCGTAATGGGTTCACCCAACACTGCCATTAACAATTCACAAACCACAATCAAACAAGATCAAAGACAAACAACCAATCATTTTGCCAAACCCCACGCGAAGAACTGAGAGAATTTCCCCAAATCTCTAATCTCTCTGTTTCTCTTGTAGAGAGAGGAGAGAGAAGCAATGGCGCTCCAACCATCGCCCTCGCCACCCCTATTGCTGCCGAGCCAATCAAAGTATCAGGAGGTGCCACTGCCTTCGGGTAGAACTTAGAAGAAGAAGAAGAGGGTGGAGACTGGAGAGTGGAAATCGCCTCTTTCAAGTTCAGTGATTGTGTTTGCACAGTAACACAAAAAAGTTATTTATCCCACATCGGAATCATAGAGATGAAGGCCAATAACTTTTGCCTATAAATAAATGGGCCAAGCTTCCTTCTTCTTCATAAGCTTCCTGGGCTTGTCAATTGGTGGGCTGGGAGTTGAGTGTTTATAATTTATATTTATATTTATATTATACAATATTAATAAATGGTAAATTAAAAAAAACTCAAAAAAAATTAAAAAATGCGCGCATTTGTACGCCTTATCACGCCTTTGTGCGAGTTTTGGTGGCCAACGTAGGCGTTGACCGCGTTATCACACGCATATACCGAATGCGATGCGTTTGGACCACACTTCGCGGGTGGGCGCGTGTACGCGGCGCGTTTTCCCGCGTTTTAGAACACTGTACAGTACACTGTACACACGAAAAATGGAAAGAATACATACATAAGTGGGGTCCAATTTTTTTTTTGTCAATATTTTATTCTTGTGGAGCCCACCTCCCATGTGAGATTTCTGTAGGAATTCTGGAACATCATTTCTGTACAAATGGTTTTATTATAACAAATAATTTAGCNTCGAAATTGATAATAAAATTATTATTCGGGATTGGATTCAATCGAATAGATTTGAATTCGTTTTTATAACGGCTAGACGAACGCGTTTCTCTAGAAAATTAGGGTTACGTTTTAGCGACACGTTTTTCGAGAAAATTAATTTATATAATTTAAAAGTTCGCGGTCGCTACAATTGCTATGCAAATCTTTATGACTGTGCTCAATGAGTCGTCCTTCTTTAATAGTTTAAACTTCTAAATAAAGCAATCAAAATATAATGGAAGAGTATGAAAAAATTGTTAGTTCAGATTTTGTTACTATCTACTATTAGAAATTATGCTTGTCATGCAACTGATATAAAGTCTTTGATCTGCAAGTCAATTACATCACACCTCCAACGACTTTAAACGTTCAAATTACTTTAGACTTTTCTAAAGGTTGAACCCCGCCCCGTCCCGCATTGTGGAGGAAGTAAATTGCGGGATGTATCTCAACAGGTCAGGGTACAAAAGCTGACATAGTAGTGTTCTCAAATAATCCAATTTCATACATTGTAAGAAGCGAAAATCAAACCCTCACACTGCGATTGCCAGCTCAATTGAAATTACCTCACTCTTATCCTTTTGACTTTTCCAATAGCATGAAGAGTCGTATCGTCGAAAAAATACAAAAAGTTTACCTCTCATATTATACGACTATGGCAAGTTCGTGATAATAACTTTACAAGAAAGAAGCCATATTGCTTTGGAAACTTCTCCCCCATTAAACGTATTGTCATCGAAAGGTCTAAAAAAATTACCTAAAATTATGAGTCGAGATACGTTGTCCTCCAATAAAATCTTGATACTTCACTACATTTCTGACTTAACAAGTTTTGAGAGGTGATGTTTATTTGGCCCCTCTCAAATTTTGACACCTCAAATTACAATAAAACAGCAAGATTTCATTTGGGATAACAGACCAGTTAAAATTATCAAGGATCAATAAATTAATAAAATAACTGAAATTTGACCTAATGAAATAAATAAATTAGGATACAGGGTCTGAATTTTTCAAAGTGCAAATGGGGTCCTAAACTTTCTGATTTTGGCAGTGTAGGACCTTACCTTTGGTTAAATTAGCACTCTAAGGACCTTTGAATGATTTTCATCAAGATTTCCGTTAGCTCGTCCACTGACTCAATTTTGACATGAAATCGGTGTCTTGGGTTTAACCAAACTTAATTTAAAAGATGTTTGATTCTCATTTTTCTCAAAATACATTTTTCTCTCTATTCTTTTTAACTACTCATTCTTCATTAAAATAATATTAAATGTAAATAAAAAAAATTCTTCTTTTTTAATCACAAATTCTTTATGAATCTACTATTTCACAATACATTTTACAAAAATTATGGGACTCAAACACCCCCTTAACAAATAGAACTTTATCGTGTGTACAGTGTTCTGTACACACGAAAAATGGAAAGAATACATACATAAGTGGGGTCCAATTTTTTTTTTTGTCAATATTTTATTCTTGTGGAGCCCACCTCCCATGTGAGATTTCTGTAGGAATTCTGGAACATCATTTCTGTACAAATGGTTTTATTATAACAAATAATTTAGCCAAATTAATTAAATCTGTTAGTATGATCTTGTTTGAGTCTTCCTTTACATTTTAGAACATGATTTATCTTGCATGTTCGGTTTTTTTTACTCAAATTAGGTTGGATTTTTGAGAAAATATTTTTTATTTCTTTCCACGTATTTTTATGGGAAAAATATTGTTTCCGAGTTTTTAGTTACCCCAATTTATCCTCAACGTACCCTATGAATATCGCAGCTAGCAACCTTACTTACAATCGTCAACTACCTTTACAAATAGCAATATGTTAGAACCAAAATAATCACGAAAATATAAGCTGCAACGATAGTTGTATGACATGGAAGGCATCGTTACAAACATCCCAAGGAATGTAAAAAGAAAAAAAAAATACCCAGGAAATTTCTTGGACCAAATTGTATTTTTACTAACGACCTAAGAATATATTATCAAGAAATCGAAATTTGGCTCAATAGACAGCGAATAAATGACAACTATTTTTGTCCCATAATGGCATTAGACAATGGCCGAAAGAAGTGGGCGACAAGTACAAGGATGCATGTCTTTCAAACTTTACATTTCCCAATAAAATGAACCTAATTTTCCTGCCTCATTGTTTCAGTTCAGACCAATGGATTTTACGACAATTAAGATCCTTTTTTTACACAAATCATTTGCTAAATTAAGTGTAAAATAATTTTTTGATCGAATAAATTCAAACTCAAAAAATTTAAAATGAATGTCTTACCTGAAAAATAGTAGTCGAGTTCTTCAACTTTGGACTCGTACGAAATTCAAATCATGACACAAGAATGTGCAGTAGAGAATATACAAGAATTTGCTTTCTTCCAAATTATAAATCGTGTAGGTCCAAGTGAATCTATCTTGTATGGTAAAGTGACTACATTGGGATCGACCAATTCAATCTTCCATACAATGAATTATTGACAAAAATTAACACGTTTGAATGGTGTTTTTATTTTTTATTTTGTCTTCATTCTCCATTTTGTCGAGAGACATAGTTAGTCAACATAGTTTACACATGTCAACGCCACACACGAGCAGGGCACATATATATCCCTCATTTTGAGTGGACGACAATCACGATTTACTTCCGTCTTATCAAAATATTCAATCATTTAAATTGAAATGTATAGTTGAAGACACCTTAGATACACATATTTTTGTCAAAATATGATAGGATTGGAAAATTTATTCATACCGAATAAAAAATAACAAATTTAGAAATAATGTAGACGTAAACTCCACCAAATTAAAAGACAAATGAAGGTATATGAGAAAGGAAAACGAATCTTTGGGCTGATCAATCAAATGCGATGACAACCCCTTACAAGAGAGGGAGGATGCAGTTTTTTTATTTCGTGTAGCCCCCCTTCTTGTAAGGGGGCTACCATTCGAGTTGCAAATCCGGGATGTACAAACAGCAAAACCCATATATAAATTTCATGTATCACTCATGCATTTATAACTCCATACATATCATGATGATTTAGTAAACACTATTAGCATTTAAAAAATCAATCTTCTAAAATTTATGTTGGGACTATATGAAAGATAAGGCAATCTTCGGGGGTTCTTTTAAAATTGGCCAAGTCAAAGGTGCCAAATTCAACTTTGACTTTTTCACTTTTGAATATTATACAATTGGCCTAATGGTGTTCAAAAGACAAAAATGCCCTTAAGTGAATAAAACAATTACAAAATATAATTTTATTAAAAAGATAATACTACCCTTTTACTTCACAAATAAAAATCAAACACTCCCTACATAAAATTACAAATTCAGTTCAAAAACAAATAAAAACTATCATCTTCTTCACTCTGGAAATCTCAAAAATATCGATAGCAGAAGAAAAAATTGTTTTCTGTCAATTACTACGAATCAGTAAGTATATTTTCATATGTTTAATTTCGTTATGCTGAAATGTGCATGTTTTTTACTCGATAAATTAAGATTCGACATAGGTAACAGGCAGAAAAATTTTTTTAGTAGATCTGTATAATATTTTTAAGTGAATGAAAAAAAATTCATCTGCATAATTTTCTAGCCTAACGTTAAGAAAACAACGGGCGAAATCGCGTGTTAACACGTGAACTTTCGCATATTAATCACTATTTT